ATTTTTGAAGAAAGTTTCCATTATCGGCTTCGGATTCGAGATTAATATATTTTAGTTGGAAATTTTAACTTTATAGCCTGATACACTCTCATTAATACACCACAATAATGGCGGTTACTGTGACATCCGCGCGTTATTATTCTATCAAATTTGGAATGTTTAGGTTTTCCTATCGATATTTTGTACAAACTATTACATGCATGTAAAAGAAAAAAGAACACAGTATCAATATTCCAAATAAGTTTCCATTTATGAAAAATATATTTGTCGCGCACTTCCGAAATGTAGGTCCAATCCGACCAAATCAAATCAATGATCGATCCATCTTGACAGCCAATCAGAGTCAGAATTTAAATTAATGCATTAATATAACAATTGATAATTAAATCTGCGAAGTTCGTATACCGCCGCATTATTTAGATAAGGAAATCGGACTGATTTAGTCGTATATAATTTAAATCTACTAATTAATATTTGCGCTAAATAGATAATACATAAAGTTTGTAATTGATAAAATTTATTTAAAACTAAGTGATAATGAAATATAAACTATCAATTCGGCTGGTTTTCTAATAAATTCTTTTTTGTTGGTTTTCCTTATTTTTCAACCTGGAATAATTTGAGGATCGAAGTTTTCTTTACCTGCACTAAGTGGAGTGAAAAATATTAGCTAATATCCATTTTATTATACCACTTTCCCCTCCTGATTTAACACATGCACGTGAGATTATATTAATACTAAGATTTAGCCATCTCCCCTCCCCCACTAAAATATTAGCTAATATTTGTACCATCAGATCCCATTTTGTAACGCTTAACAGACTCAACTTGAACACGAATTTTAGCACAACTTTTAACACGTATTATTTCTACATAAAGAAATGAAGATAACCGGGCCAGGGAATCTATAATGATTTTGTTGCGCGAAATCACTCAGCAAATTTATTTAACGAGCACGCATTCTTGAATCACCACTTTGATAATCTGGTAGCATATGTAGCAACGTCGTTTTCATTACTCTAAAATTAGCTCTTTCGGAAATTAATGTTTCTGAAACAAACCCAAACTCAGTAAGAACTTGATAGTATTATGAAGTGGATTCAGCATGCGACATGGATGGCTCTTATGATTAACAAAGTGGGTTCTGCGGGTTCTGCAGTTATATCTTCATTGGGATCCCTACATGACACAAATGCTATAGTGTCTAATATGCAATTTTAAACAATGTTTTAAAAAATAAACCTTAATCAGCGAGAACTTCACGATTATGTGAAGCAAATGGCAGGATAGATTCACCACAAAACAAAGTATATGGTTTTAATGAAGCGGGTTCGGAGGTCATTGATGTTGGTTCTGCACATAACGAAGCAATTACTGCATTTCTTCATGTCCTTATAAGATACAAAAATATTAGTAATCAATATTCCATATAAAATCATACATATACCTTAAATTGACTAGAACTTACTGAAATTGCGAAGTAAATTTAACACATAACGAAACGTGTAATAAAGTAGACTTTGGCATATTCGCCTAGCTTTCTACATAATAAATGGTTTTCAGAATCTGATATACAATTAAAAAATACATACTAGAATTCACGATCTTGTGAAGTGGACAACGACGAATTATGCAACGCGGTGGATTCGGAACATAATTAAGAAGATAATAAGATGGGTTCAGCATACATTTGCTGATTAAATTTCCAATTTCATATGTTAATTAAGATTGATCTTACATGTACATGTATATGACAATCAATATTGCATTATAAATTTAAATACATGTACTGAGAATCGTCAAAAGTCTCCAAACAACATTTTTTAAGTTTGATTTTATGCTGTACCATTACATAATTTAATAATACTTACTGCAGTTTTACATGTACAATATTCTGTGTCGTGTTCAAATCACAATTGTTCAGATCAAAATCGGTCCAAATTAGAATAGAAATATGATCCGAGTTAGGGTTAGTGATTGGATTCGTTTCTCAAATGCTTACCCGGGCCGGGGGTCACCTATTAGATTTGATTAACAGGTAACCAAGGTTTATCTGGATTAGAACTACGTAATTGAAATCATATTAAACTAATATTACGAATATAGGTCAAATAATTTATTTATTGAAAATTAAGAAAAAATATTATAATATAAACTATTTCTTTTAACAAAAAGTAATTGATTGACAATTTGTGGCGATAATTGTGTTCTTTAGTTGTAATTTGATTTTCTGCATCTGAAAAAAGTCATTCACTAGGAACAGAAGTTGCAGTTATTGAAAGATATTTGTGTGATATACAGTTTAATATTGGAAAATTTATCTTGTTATTATGCCATCAAGTAATATCATAATTCAAATATCTGATTTTTCTAAATCAGTATTTGTTTGTGATTATAAAATATCAAATACTTGTTCATAAAAACTTGGCAATAAAGTTGTCATTAATTCTATTTTGTCAGTATCAAATTAATAATATCACAAAGATTTATATATAATACCTCAAAATTGAGTTATAATTTGAATAATAGAGATTAATATTTGATTTGAATGATATTGAGATTTTTTTTCAAATAATTATTTAATTTCTTCAATATTATTATTAAATATATTTGAATCTATATATAAATTAATAATATTATTATATAATATACTTATTATTATTATTTTTTAATTTGATTTTATTTTAAATTTCTTTTATTTGTTCCAAGATTAAATTTGTTCCACTAATATATTTATATTTTAAAGATTCAATACTTGAATTAATTAAAGAAAGTATAATTTTACTAAAATAAATTGTCAATTTATTAAATAATTCTAATATTTTTATTAAATATTGCAATAAATTCTATTCATAATTATCAAAAATATATTGATTTTAACTATTTAATAGTATAATAATTATTCTAATTATAATAACCTAAATTTTATCTTGGTTTAATATTATAAATTGAATGCAAATTTTTAATTTTAATTCAATAGTAATATCAATATTCTCATTATTAAAATTTAAAATTTTAGTTATTTTAGTTTGGTTATATATGTAAGAATACTTTCTTACGTGAAAAGTATTGAAATAAATTTATTAATTATTATAAATAAATTATATTAATTGAGATAGTTTTCAGTTTTAATTTTAATAAAGCTTATTTCTTTGTTTATTAAATAGTAAAAAGATCTAAAAAGTTATAATACAAAACAAAGATATTTAAATACATAATTGATATTAAATGAATTACAAATAAATTAATAATAAAATAGAGAGCAATTAGTTCTAAATTATTAATCTTAAAAATGATGCATCTCCAAGTTATACTGTACTTAATAAGATATATATAAAATATAAATAATAATAAAAAATAATTAATACAAATTTAAAATAATAAAAGAAAAAGAAAAGAACAAATAAAAAGAAAAAAAATTAAAAACAAAGTGTGTTTAAATTAATAATGTGATCTATATTTTATATCTAATCTATTTGATGAAATATTAAGAAGTATTAAATATAGATCTATGTTAATTTCTAATATGTTATGCAAAAAATAATAAATATAACATAAAAAATGACAGACATAATACAAGAAAATACAAGAATATATGAAAATTGTTACAATTACTCTCTCTCTTAAAAGTCAATATTTATATTGAATTAAAAATGTACTTTTTTAAAAGCTTTGACTTTTTCTATTGCATTTTTGAGATTATTCAAAGATTTTCAAGTAGAGTTATATAAAAGATATTCATCTTATTTTACAAGATATTATGGTTATTTTCTTATTATATACTTGTCTAGAATATTTTCAACTTCATACTTTTCTTCATTATTTGATATAATAATAACTAGTGATAATATTTGCTTATTGAATTCATCATCTTTATTATATAACTTTAGTAGTAAAATATAAAAAACTAGATGTATTTTCATGTTGTTTGAAAGTTCTAATTTGTATGCAACTGATAAAATTTTGTTAATTATATTGAATAATCTAATATATTTAGTATTTAATTTTCTTGTTGGTCTTTGTTTATCAATAAGTGTATTAAAAAATGAGTTAATAAAAGAACTTTTTGACCAATTTCAAATTCTTCAAATTGCAATATTGATTTGCATATTTTTGTTATCTGTTCTGAGCTTTTATCAATGTATCTTTTGCTATTTTTATCATAATATTCCAATATTTTAAGAATTCTTAAGAGACTACTATTTTATTATTAACATTAATAATAATTCAAATGAATTATATTGGGTGAATACTTGTTTACTATTATTGTAAGCAAATTTTGCAGTAACTAGACAGTTATTTCAATTATTTTGCTTATATGATAAAAATTCTAAGTATTTCTTCTAAACTTCTGTTTAATCTTTCAGTTTGATCATTAGTTTATAGATGAAAAGCTATCAATATAATCAATTTAGTACCTAATTGAGTAAATAATAATTTTCAAAATTGACTGGTAAATTTGACATCTCTATTTGAAATAATAGTTTTTGGCAATTCATATAATCTAAATATCTTATTAAAGAATAATTTTGCAATATTTAGTGTTGTAAAAATAGTATATATTGGAACAAAATGTGCTCTTTTTGTAAATTTGTCAACAAAAACAATAATAGAGTCATAATCTTGTTTGGTTTTTGGTAATTGTAATATAAAGTTCATTGTGACTTGCTTCTATTTATTTTAAGATATAGAAAAAGGTTATAATAATTTACTTAATTATTAATTATTATTTTTGTTGTGTTGACATAATTTATAACTAGTAATATATTTATGAATACTTTTGTTTATCTTTAACCAATAAAATTGTAAATTAATATTAGTATATATTTTGTCAATTCCAATATATCTGATGATTGATGTATTATAGTATTCAAATAATATTTTTATTTTCAAATTTTTATTATTTGAAATGGTGAGTCTGGATGTGTTCTTTATTATTTTTCAATTCAAAATGACAAGTTTTTGCTTGTTTTTTTGGTGTTGCTTCTTCTACATACTGCAATATTTTCAAAATTTCTTTGAAATATGTATCTTTATTGTATTTCTTAATTAATTATTTTTACTAATTAATTTAGTATTGATAGTACTAATATTGATAAGATGTATTTGATGAGATAAAGTATCTGCTACTATATTATCTTTTTCAGATTTATATTTTATATCAAAATTATTGGCTTGTAGAGTTTCTAATTAGCATACTTGTCTTTTGGATAAGTTGTTTTAAGTTTTGATATATTCAAGTGAAGTATGATCAGTTACTATAATAAACTTTTGATCTTTTAAATATAATCTTTAAAGTCTAATTGTATATATGATAACTAGTAATTCTTTCTCATAAATTGGATAGTTTTGTTCAGCTGAAATAAGTTTTTTTGACTCATAAATAATTGATTATTTATCTTTACCTTGATTTTGTCTTAATATTGCTTCAATAACATATTCTGAAGTATCAGTAGTTATTGTAAAAGATAATTTTGGATCTGGTAATATCAAAATTAATACTGTGATTAAATATTATTTCAAAGTTTTAAAACTTATTATTCTGCTTCTTGTTAATTATATTCTTAATTCTTATATAAAAACTTTATTAATAGTGATACTATTACTGAAAAATCTTGTATAAATTTGTAATATTAGCTTGCTAAGTCTAGAAATAATCTCAACTCAGATATATTTATTGATTTTGATCAGTCTTTTATTATAGTAATTTTGTATTAATCAACTGAGATTCCATCTGCTGAGATAAAATGATCAAGATATTCAATATACTGTTTGATAAGTTTATATTTCTTCAATTTAATATACAATTTGTTCTCTTGCAATACTTTTAATATTGTTTTTAAATATTATAAATATTCTTTCTTGATCTTGTTATAGATTAAAATATTATCCAAATAAATGATAATAAATTTATTCAAATATTGTTGAAAGAAATTGTTCATGAGTGTCATAAAAGTTGCTGGAGTATTTGTTAATCCAAAGGATAAAACCAAGAATTCAAAGTGTTCATATTTTGTTCTAAATGCAATTTTGTAAATATCTTCATTTGTAATATGAATTTGATAATATTTAGAATATAAATCATGTTTTGTAAAGTATTTTGATCTAACTAATCTATTTATAAGTTTATCTACATGAAATAATAGATATTTATTTTTAATGATAATTTTGTTAAAAGCTCTATAATTAACACATAATCTCAAAGTTTCTTCTTTTTTATGAACAAATAAACTAATGTTCCAAATAGTAATATACTTGAACAAATAAAATCTTTATTTAACAAGTTAGTTAATTGAGTTTTTAATTCATTTATTTTTATAAATAATAATCTATATATTGAATGATAATAATGTATTTCCAGGTATTAAATCAATTTTGTGATCAATTGTTCTTGTGGATAAAAGTTTTACTAATAGTTCTTTTGGAAAGATATTTGAGAATTGTTGAATTATTTTGTGTGCTTTTGATATTAATATTTTTTCTTTGTCTTGAATATTAGATAAATATATAGTAAATAATTTAGCATT